GATTCGGAACCCCTCCCCCTCTGTAAGGGGGGGGGGGTCCATACAAATGAAACAGAAATTTCTGCATAACTCGAGAATTAATCAAGCAAATGAACCAAATTTGGCACACTCAGCTAGTAATATATAAAAATATATTTCAATTCATGTTTAAACGGAAAATCATACAGCATGGATTAATTGTTCTTCTTATTTTTTTAAAGTTGCTTTTGGTCAGGACTTTTTGCTTTAGTTGTTTCTTTCTCTGCCTTCCGGCTTTTTTCTTTTGTTTTTTTTTTCCATTTCCACTTCTTTCTTGGCGATCTCGAGTTTTTCCACGTACAAACGATAAGCTTGGCGGTTGCCACAGAAGGTGGTGAAAGCTTCTCCAGGCGCCGTTTAGTTGGGGTTTCCTTCGACGCAGATGGCATACAAAATTATTAATCAAATGCATAGCGTGGTTCTAGATTTTCTTGTTGCGAATCACATTCCATCAAGCAAAGCCAGATGCCTGGTTGTTTCTAAAAATGAATAAAACATAGGTAAATTGCAACAACATCCATGCTTTTAAGATACCTTCGGATGACACTTGTTTGAATCCGTGAAATACTGGATCAACCACCCAACAAACAATCGCCTATTGAATAAACGACTTTTTGACGATTGTATTCAACTGCATGCTTAATAATACTTGTATTATTTTTAATATTAACTTCTGTTCAGGATCTGGTGAATCTATTCAACCAGAACATTGAACTGCATGGTGTTGTTAACATAAAGGATTAAAAAAAAAATCGTTGATTGTGGTTCAATTTACTAATCGCTGTTAATAGTAACATCGAACTTGACAAGCTTGACATAATACCGGTGAGTCAAAAAAAAAACACCAAAAGTTCTGGGTGGGGGTGTGAAATTGTGGTGTTAAATCAGGAAAACATTCAACGTTTATATGGCTTTAAGGTGTTTCGCTGTGAGATCCTTATTCTCGTAGCCACTTTGAAACTTTAACAGCCCAAATATCAGCTTCTACGAAACGTACCACAATGAAACTATTACTCCAAGTTTGCTGTACTGCAGCATACATGAAGTAGCTATTTCTGGAGAAATGGGGTATTAATTTTCGAAATGTGTGTAATTGAAAATTTGAGGTGGAAGTGCATGTATAGCCTACGTGGTGGCCATTTGTGGACTCTACAAGAAATCACCTTAAATAAGTTAATTAATCAGATCATAGCAAACAGTGGAATAAAGGCGCATCTATCGATCGCAATGTGTTTTTTTCAGCATATTATTCGACAACCCGTTTTATTGAGCATTGTACACTGTTATACAGCATTTATTCAATATGCATGCTTATTTGTCTCTGAATTTCTTTTTTTTTTGGGAAGTCAGCCTGTGATACATTACCAGTAAATAAACCTTTTTTTTATGAATTTACTGACTTATTCATCAAAATACTGAAATAAAAATACTGAAAAACTCAGCAAAAACAAATGTAAACAAATAAATTACTGATATAGACAGCAATTTCTTTACTGACTTATACAGTAATTTTTCAAAGCTATTTGTGAAAAAGCTGTTTTACCTTCATGAAATCACTAGCTACTTAAGGGGGTTAGGTTTTGATAAGTTCTTTAGTGGGAATGATACTGATGAAGACTGTTTTATTTAAGCATTCCGCTAACAACCCAATTTCATTACTTCATTATGATGGGTACCAAGCCTTTAGGATTTTCCTTATTAGAGAGTTGTATAGATTTTTTCTCCTTTACTTTACTTAAAGCTTTGGTTTTTATTAGTTAGGTAGGTTCCGATTCAACACATTGTAGTTTCATTGTTATACTTTTGATCTTGACTTTTTACCTAGGAGATGAGTACTTAAGGGGGTTAGATTTTGATAAGTTCTTTAGTGGGAGTGACACTGATGAAGACTGCACATTGTAGTCGAAATACGTATCTGTCATGGATACCAAAACTTATTAAGTGGAATCAAATGGAAGATAACCGTGCTGTTTTATTTAAGCATTCCGCTAACAACTCAATTTCATTACTTCACAATATATGCTATTTGACCCCGTTTAAAACCAAACGTTTTATAATTGCTTTTATAATGATAAAACGCCTTTATGGAGTATTTTTTTGCAACATCAATAAAAAAAAACGAGTCATAAAATGATTGATTAACTGAACAGTTTTATCAGTGGCGTTTCCTTAACCTCAATCTATCTGTGCACCAACTCTCAAAACATAAACAATTATCAAAACATTGCTTGCAATTGATAGACATCGAGTAAACTAGAAGATTAAGTGTATTTTTCAACCGATTCGAGTATGAATATGCCATTAAATCTAGTTATGAAAGTTGATGCACAGGTAAAAAGTGAGGTTAAGGGACGGCACTGAGTTTTATAAAGGGATAGAGTGCTGCATTAAATTAATTTTTTAAACCAAAGACATTCTGACTTTATCGTCAAAAATGTTTTGCAATATTAATTATTCAATGTTAATATTAATATTCAAGAATGTTTTGCAATATTAAATGCTTCATTTAAACTAAAAAGTTTGCTTAGGGTCTGTTCATAAACTACGTAGACAATTTTTTTGGGATTCTTGACCCCCCCTCCCCCTGCGTAGACAATTGTCCATACAAAAAATTTAAAATTTGTATGGGCCGTGGATAATTCTCAACCCCCCCCCCCCCTAAACTGTCTACGTAGTTTATGAACAGCCCCTTATTGCTTTTATAAAACCACAATAAATCAGTGTGAAAGTCGAAAGGCTGTTAAATTGTTACTTGGGATCTACTCCGAAAAAAAAATCATAGCAATAAACGTGGCATACTTGATCGAAAAAGCAAAGAAAGGGCTTAGCATTATCCTAACATTTTCTGTCTATTATTGAAAAGCTACTAAAAATGGCACGAACTAACTTTTGTAAGCATAATAAAATAAACAATAATTTCAAGCGAAGATTACTATTTTATTTTATTCTACGGAGTTATTTTTAAAGCTCGCTTTAAAAAAAAATCTGTTTTATAAAGCAAAAGTTATGCCACAGAAAAAGTTTGTTGAGTTACCACATGGTTTACAGGGTTAGCACAAGACAGGTTACATGAATTTGCGGTTTTTATTAGATTTGAAAAACATGTGAACTAATTGCAAAAACAACGACTCATTGTTCTATAACTTTTCTGCTAAATTCATATGAACTGGTCTATCAATGTATGAAGCTAGCTCTAGTCTGCGATGACTTGAGAAATCGTAGCTTGGTTAATGATACGGTACTCAGAACGTTCTAATCACTATCATAAGGGTAAGCAATAAGATTAACTGGACGATTGTCTGAATCGAGTTAGTGGAAAAGCTGCATGCCATGTGAATAAGGCGAAAACTTTTCCACAATTACAAGTCATGACGGAAGGAGAAATAAATAAACCCACCTTCTTTCTTCCTTTACGCCTCCCTCATAGTTTACTGTACAATTTCGCAGCGATTTATAAATAGGTGTTTCATGCTGCTTCTGACAGCACTCACCACTAGACTGGCCTACAAAAATAAAAGTTATAATTTCACGGACCCCTAGATTTGTGCCAATAGGTGAGAAAACCACACTCTGAAAATTTCAGCTCACTCACTGCATACAATGTAACTATTACTAAATGAAAAAAAAATTAGACATTTTCTCACCGCTTGAGAAAAGGTTTGAAGAGAAATCGATGATTTTTCAAAAATCTCCGTTTATCCATCACTGGTGGGGCAACATTTATCGAATTTGATAGTGGAAGCTATGACTCAATCGAGAACCTTTTAAATCTATATCAGTTCTGTGTAGCTAGCGCAAACTTCCAACCCGAAACAAATATATGCATGACACCCCAGCATGGTAGCTTTATATACTTTTTTCAGAATTACCAGCTGTTCTTTGATCAGCTAATATTGTTAGAAGTCAACATATGCCCACTATTTAAGTTCAATTTCATTGAAATAAAGATTGACGAGTCAAAAAAAAAACTAGATTTACGGAAATAAAACGACAAGTGCTAATGAATACGCTCCGTGTATGATTAACTTGTACGTAAACATGCAATTAGCTGCACGTAGCATATCCCCGCATTCGCAGCTAATTAATAAGATTTCACGGCTAACTTCAGTACCGGACATAAGTATATAACATCGTGATTTTTTTTTACACTTCGAAAAAGTCTGAAGAGCTGTTATTTTTTGAAATGTACATCAAAGTTTGTGAAACTATATGACTCCTGGTTTAGCAGTATAGTATTAGACTTGATTGGCTAAATCAGTGAAAAGTTTGATCAAATGCAACAACAAAAAAAAACATTTTTTTTAATTATTTAAAAAAATATATGTAATTTCTAAAACTACAATACCCAATTAACTAAAGTTTCACTATACATAAAACTTTCCTAATATTCGTATCATTGATAATCTGACCATCTAAAATTAGAGGGATGTAAAAGATCCAAACTCGAACAATTTCAATTAATTTGGTTCAAGATAAAGTAGTTAAAAAATGCGTTTTACTAAAATTGCTCAATCATCATACACGCTCAGCCAATAAAGTCTTAAACTTTAATTAAAAAAAACTCTTGAATGTTTGACATTGATGCAAATCTTGAAAAGTTACAGTTTTTGAACTAAAGAAAAAAAAAATCATGATTTTATATACATATGTCCAATACTGTACGTAACGGAAGCTTCTCCGAGTCCGATGCTGCCCGATGCAGTTATTGCACAATACACATCACCACATCGCCGGCTAAGCTACCGGTTGCTTACGAAATTTGCATATGCGTAAACGCTGAGAGTGACTTGAATTGGCAACGCCGTCATCAAAGGGTTCGTGACCGTTGAATGTGAACCGCTTTGAGGTCTTGAAAATGTTGTAATCGATCAACCAGGCGGACATGTTGCTCACCTCAGATGCAGTTTTGTTCAATCCTGTTACAATAGGTAATTAAACAGCTTTCAATCGATATATATCTCTCTCTCTTTTACTCATTACAGCATCGTTTATGCGCATATGCAACCGCGACGACCCTGAACTTGGACAGTGCCTCAAGGATTCCATTGAGCGGTTGCTTCCAGAGTTGAAAGTAAGTCTTAATATAGCATCAGCCAGGTAGGTAATAAGTTTAAGAAGTTGTTTGGCAATTTCGCAAGAAGTTATTGCACTTTTCCTGAATTTGCAGTTACAACTAGGGATGTCCGATTTTCCAATTTTAACGGTAGGGCAATGATGGGCTAAAGCCAGGCCCCCCAATTTGGAGGGGCCCCCGGCTCAGAGACATCAATCATAATGTATGTGAAAATATTTGCATGGGCGACTAGAACATCATCTCGTACTGCTGGTTAGCCTGAATTATAAATCAGAAGTAGATGAGTTGTAATGGTGATTTAGTCGATTTTGTCTTAATTTGGGTGCAACTTAAAAAAAAACGAAGTTTAACTTTTTCATCTGTCGTTGAAAAAATGGTTTTCGTCCACATTTAAAAAATGTTAACTTAGTCAATCGATGCACTTATGATGAACTGTTGTAAGATTGCTCAAATTAATCATGAAAGTTGTAAGCATGTTTCGTGAATGTCAACAACTTATATAATTTTGTTGAAGATGGTGGCAACATTTGCTACAAACTAATTAACGACATACATATGCACTGAAGTCGGTTTTCCCAAATGTGAGAATTATCCTCAGGATATTTAATACAATGATGACCACCAACTGCTCAGGATAGCAGTCAGTTTCTAATTTAATAATTAGTGAAATGTTATTTGAGGGATGCTATGGACCAATCTTAATTTATTATTTATTACGAATTATTGATGAAAATTGGTTTCAACTTACTAACAAACTAGTCGATTGCGAATTTAGTTAAGTAAAATTGAATGTATGTTAGAATAAAATCAATTTGGAAGAAAAGTTCATACGAAAAAGGTTTATCACAAGTCTTTTTATTTCATGGAAGGTAAAATTTGAAAACTATAAACAGATAGGGAGCCCTACGATCAAATTAGACCAGGGCCCCCAAGGGTTGTAAAGACGGCCCTGGTTTATAGCTAACGGTTTATTTTTTATATTGATAGGATAGTACTTGTCTTCGATTTATGCATATGCAATAATCGATTACTTAATTTTTATTTTGATCGATGGTTTTATTATACAAGAAAACATTAATTTTAGAATTATTGCTGTTTCGTTTTTAGCACGTTCCGATTATGCTTGTTCCGTTTTTGGCAACACAAAAAAATTGGAAAATTTGAGCGTGAGTCACAGTGCACTATGCTTCGAATCGACAATTTAGCAGGAAAAAATTGTTTTCTCCGTTGTTGTTCATTTTAGATGCTAAGTGTTGTGAGAGAAGTTGTATGTTATCATACCATACTTCTTTTGAGCAAAAAGCTGGTTAGGGTGGTCCTCGTTTGAATCCAAATTCAAATTCAAACTTTTTTTTCAGGTAGTTACATTGCTGAGCAAAGTTGTAGAAAATATTATTTTAGACAACTTTGCTGAATACACCATTTATCTATCTCTTTAGTTGACTGTTTTAGAGCATTTATTAAGTATTTATTGAGGTGTCCCTAAAAAAAACAGTTTTTTTATTCTATCGTTTTTGAACCATTTTCTTTTAGAAAATGGTCTTGAAAAAACTTGTAGAACTAATATTGGCGCACGTTTTTGCTGAACAAAGCATGTTGATAAGTCTTAAATTATAGACTATTTTGCCCAAAAAACCAAGTGATGTTAAAATGCTTATATCACATGGAGTTGGATCGCTAAAAATTTTCTTGCGGTATCATCTGAAAAGCGATACTTAAAGAAATATTTGAGGAAAAAACTGCGAGGACAACTTTCTTTAAATTTGAATAAATGAATTTTAAAATTCCCTAAAAAAACTTGAAAATTACCTGTAACTCAAAAATGTATAAGCATAACAACATACTGTCTTCATCAAAATTGTAGGTTTTGACTTGATCTTAAAGCCTTCTTTGCACAACTTTTTTGTAGAATGTAAAGTAAAAGAGATAGAATTAATTATGTTTTTGTTTTGTGTGAGACACCCTATATCAATTATAAATTATCATGGGGAACAACCTTTTAGTAAACTGTCATTGTACGAATTGGCTCTGAAAACTTTAAATGGAACGAAGCATATAGATTTACGAAACAAATATTATATTCTTGAGGCATATTTCACAAAAATAAAGAAACAAGTGTAATAAAACTTAACTAAGTACCAGATGTTGAGCATTTTCTGGTAAAGCCAATGTACTATTTTTTGTTATTTTGATAGTCAGAGGTGATCAACAGTCTTTTAAAAACGTCCTCGATGTTAGATATTCTGTTAAATTTTCGGGCATGATGTTCTCGGAACTTACGGATACTCTTGTTCCGTGTCTCTTGCGCCTCTTCGCTTAGCATGCCTATCGGTAAAATTGCATGTCTGATTATGGTCGATCCGTGTACCAGCAATTTATGGGCGGTTGGCGAAAGTGGGTACCACCCATAAAGTTCGACATAAAGAGCCCGTGTTTCTTCGGAATAGCTTGAGCTTGAGCTTGAGCTTGATTGAGCGCCCACGGTTGCTACTCTGTTACTGCCAGATCAGCTGTAATTACACAGAGAACCAATAGACGATGCTTGGGACTAGCAATCATCCTCAATGTGTAAAAACTGGTGATATTAAATTAGGCAATACCAGCGCCGGCCGCGCCCGAACACAGGTCAAGAAAGGAATGGGAAGGATTGTGTTGACATGACACTCGCTTTGATGGAAGCCGAGAACACCTCTGATGCACTTCCACGAGGAATCACTGGGATGTTGGATAAGAGGGTTGGGTTTGCAGCAGGGTTCGTTTTGGTAAACGATAAGCTGAATTGATGTCCTAACGATCATATAACGCGAAGGAGCTAGGGACCAAACCCATGGTCTTCTGCTCAGTAAGCAAAAACGTTTGCCACTAGGCAGACGAGCACCTTTTTAATCACCGAGTTGCTGTTATTACCATGTAGTTATATTAACAAATAAAACGATTGACGAATCTTGAATGTGGATGGGCCTGAGATTAGACTCATGATGTTCTGCTCAGTAAGCAAAAACGGTTGCTCTAAGGCCACCGAGCCCCTCATATCACATAATACCGTTGCTCAAATTTGTGTATCCATTCAAACCCAGAACCAACGACAACAACGAGTTTCGCAAAATACACGATACACAAGCGATTTTACCATAAATCTCTTTGATATGTAAGGACCTGGGACCGCGTTTTTCTGCTCAGTAAGCAGGCCACTGTAACCGACGATCTTTCAAATCCGAAAACTAAAAACTACGAAAAAGTACTTAGGCCTTCATTAAGTTCCACTTTCACGCGACGTTCAATGACAGGGTCCTATCCAGGATTACATCTGAAAAATCCAAATCTGGCCAACGCCCTCCTAAACCTGTTCTAATCCACCTGAAATGACTAACGAATGGAAGACTTTGACTATCCAGCCATGCAATAGTCTCATTCCGTGCCTTATGGCAACTTGATGATTCTATTGCGCTCATCTTTTGGCACCACCCAGAGGAGACTTGGTCATGTACCCAATGCTTAACTTATCTCCATTCCACTCAGCTACTCGCAATTTCTTGTGATATAGTGGGCGGAATATTATTATATGAGACAATTCAATGCAGACGTCTTTCCAAATTTGGCAGATCGACAGGTAATCGGTGAGTTACCACGATAGTTGCTATTCAACAACTCGACAACGTCCCATCGTCAACGCCTGCTATGAGAATTTCCCATTGCAGACGTCAACGAAATGACGTCATCGAGCTATCGATCAACTACCCTGGTTATCGCCTGGTACCTTATAGCACGATGCTAGGAGGCGAACCGGAAGAATCGATGAGCTACCTCTCCCCCCGAGCCCGTGTTTCTTCGGAATAGCTTCGAAATACCTCAATGTTTATGCCAGATCTACTGTTAATTATTGTGAGAAGCACATAAAATCGCTCCAGTAACCTTTCATCAATTCCTATTGCCGTCATTAGAGCGGTTCCATATCATTAAAGCAACGAGTAATTTTCATCTTTTTTGATTTGCATGAAACCTTGCATACAAGTTTTTGGGAAAGAAAAACGCCGTTTTGCATACTTGGTTCACCATTTTGAATCTAGCCTTACTTATGAGAAGGGCCTATGAAAAATGCACATGATATCTTCAAAAAATTGTATCTCGGAAACGGTTTGTCCGATTGGTTTGGTGTCTTACGCGAAGTTTTAGACAATTGTTGGTGTTATATGGAGAAAATATGCACGGTAAAAAACAAAGTTTGGTATTTGTGTTTTGAACTAAAATATAAATTTTCCCTTTAAAGTGACATGTCAATAATTTTTTTATTATTCTTATGTTATAGCTGACTAAAAATGCTATCTAGTGCACAGTAGGTTGTTCTGGAGAAAAATAGATTACGATGAAAAAAATTGTTTTTTAAAAAAATACAATTTTCAAAAAAGCTATTAAAAAAAGTCAAACAAGTTTGTCACTCTAATTTTATGAAAGTACATCAAATTTTCAAACAAAAAGTACTTCAGTAACATTTTTCTAAGATGCACCGTTTAGAAGATATTACTGATTTAATATTGCTTTTTTTGATAACTTAATAAGTTTTGGCCCTTTTCGGATGTACTCCGTATTTTTTCAGTTTCAAAAATATTTTTTTCGGAAAGATTGGAAAATTTTGAGTTAAAATGACACTGACAGCTTAAAGATTCGAGTGAAATTCTCTGCCTTAAAAGTATTTTGAAAAACAAGTTACAAAATCCCACTATCAGGAACAATGATTTCTTCAAGTGATTTTTGGTGCGTTGTGCTGAAAATGTGCATTCAACTCTTGCATATCGCCTAACAGTTTAATCCATTTAAACTGGATGTGTTTATACTGTGCATATTTTCTCTCTATTGCCGAACATCACCACAGACATCAAACCAATGAGACAACTCGATTTCGAGATACACCTTTTTGAGAACTGCAAATGTAAGCTCCTCAATTAGCAAGATTCAAAAGAGCGAATTAAGCTTATTTTTCAGGGATGGTGATTGTGCGC